AACTCACTCGAACCAAGGAAGGGATCTAAAAGATGAAGGGGGAAGCCATGGAATTTGCAATAGAGAAGACAGGAAGATGCCATGGAATTTGCAGTAGAGAAGACAGGAAGATGCCATGGAAGATGCAAGAGAGAGGGAAAAACAAAAATAGCATTGAAGAATGTCAAATAAAGGAGATGGTAAAGTTACGTCAACACGTGTCCCAAATAGTAAAATGAAAGGATCGCAATTTCTACTTCTAATGACACGTAAATTTACAAGCATGAATTCGAGAGAGCTAAATTGTCATAATCAGGCGAATCTACGGCCGTTTCAGGGTATTTAATTCTTCATCGAAAAATTACATTATATGTACATCAAATCTAATTTTATATTAATGTATTTAGCATTTTGGATACCCTCAAAAAGAATAATGAATAGTAGCTCAAGTAATTAAAAAAATGAGGTACTTTGATGTAGATAGAGTAGTAGCTGATGTACTTTGAATGTAGATGGAGTAGTAGCTTAGTGGCAATATTGGAAAAAATTTATGGTGGTAAAGGCACAAGTATAACATGGTGTGTGAGGGATTACTTTTTAATAAAAAATGTGTAGTTCTACTTTTTTATTTATATTATTATTTTTCTCTCCAACCTTTACTTATTTTTATGAATAAAAAATTGTGTGAGTCCTATTCTTCTTATTTTATATTGATATTCTTTCTCTTACATTTTACTCCACAGACGTTCTATTCTTCATTTTTTTTCTTTCTCTTTTAAAAAATAAAAATAAATCTTCTTTACTCTAAATTTTTAGATCAGCTTTGACTAATGAATTTTATCTACTCATTCTTTTTATGTCATTCATATATTTATCTTTTTCATTTGATAATTAGCAGGTATATTATTTTTTATTTTTTAAATTATATAAAAAAATATGGAAGAAAATGAGAATAAATTTTTTACCTACGAACTAAAAGTTTAGGTAGACAATCAACTATACTATTAATATTCCCATTTGGTATGTGTATTTAAGTCTGATTGATCAATTTTTTGACTTATTAAATTGAACTATTTTATCCATTTGTATATTAATAAACCACACCAAATATTTTTTTAATAGATTTTTTGATCTTCTCAATTGTTTTGAGTTTGATTTGAATCATATTATAAGTGTATTTGATTTTTTATGACTTATGGTGTAAATACCCACACTATTTTATACAATTATTTAATTCTCTCTCTATATATATATATTTGTTCCCATCCGGTGTCTGATACCCACATTGGAGCCCGACTAAATTCGAATTCGCGTCGAAAAATCTCACATTGGGGGTAAAGCTCTCCCTAACAAATGCGACTCCGTACTCAAGGAGACTCAAACCTGAGACCTCTTAGTTAAGGATGAAGGAGTACTTACCACTCCACCAAAACCCTTGTTGGTAAAAAATTATATATATACAAAAATATCAATTTGTAATACGCAAAAAAAGGAAAAATATATTATATGATAAATATTTGTATATACAAAATAGTTTTTTCCTTTTTTAATAAATTGAATTAGATATAATTTTATGGAAGTGTGACATTTACATCAATATTTGTAAAAAATAAATTAATTTTAGTGTAATACGCAATTAAACTTTTTTAAAATTTGAGAAAATAAAAAAACTTAATTTTATTGATTCGGTTGGTTTGATAAGTGAAAAAATTAATCAATCCAACGTATATATATGTACCAAATGAGGAATTTTCATAGCTTAGTTAATTGACTACCTAGGCGTCATCTCGTAGGTTAAAATTTCAGTTTTCATTTCATAATTTTCTCCTAGATTTTTCCTTTTCATATTCTTGATTTTGTTTAAAAAATATAAAATAAAATATACAAGCCAATTATCAAATGAAGAAAGATATATAATATAAGAAGAATTGAGTAAATTAAATTCATGATTGAAAAACAGTGATCTGAAATCAACAAAGAATTAGAAAGGAAAAAAAAAAGGTTAAAGGGAAGAAATTGAGAAAAAGAAGTGTGAGAAGCAAAGTAGGAGAGAGAAAGGCCCTCACTATCATTCAAACATGATAATTTTTTATTCATAAAAATTAAGTAAAGGTAGGAGAGAGAAATAACAATGCAAATAAAAAAGTAGCACCCACACATTTTTTATTGAAAAATAATCCCTCACACACTATGTCATACTTGTGCCTCTACCACCATAAAATTTTTCGCAATATTGCACAAAAAAATATTTTCCACTTAGGTTCAGTTCCCCAGAATAAAATTTGCAAGAAAGTAGTGAGTGGTATGCCATAAGGACCTAGAAAGATTATCTATGTAGTGTTGGACAAAATGATAATTACACCCAGAATAATGTCCAAACTAAATAGCAATAGGAAGAGAGTAACAACGACACCAAATATTATAATGGGGTAAATATGATACCCAAATAAGTAATGCAATAATATTGATGAAAAACTTGATAGTGTCAAAAGACTACTACTCAATACTCTTTTATTTCTTACAACTCACAATAATATTAATTTCACACTACTTTCTCACAAATTAAGAAATAATTTGTGGATTACTCTCTCTACTCTCTATTGCTTCTCTATTTTAGTGTGTCTTCAAGTGTTCAATTACTACTCTATTTATAGAGTTTTTGAACCTCTCGATTACATCATTAATGACATAAATGTGGTAGCCAATTTTCAGAAAATTTGGCTACCAAACTCTACCAAAATTCTACCAAACTTTGACTACCTACTTCCACAAATGTGGCTGGCCAACTTTCACATTTGTGGCTTGCCAACTTTCACATTTGTGGAAACTAAGTTCAACAAATGTGGCTGCCAAACTAGTTGCTGCCAAGATTTTATTCCCACAAATCTCTCCTTTAATTTTTATTTTTCTTCTTTACTCCAAGGCTTGATCTCAATCTCTGAAAATCATCAAACTTGAGAGGCTTTGTAATGATTTCCGCAACTTGATCATGAGATTTCACATACTTGAGCTCTACCTCTTTCTTGGAAATGCATTCTCGGATAAAGTGATACCTTGTGTCTATGTGCTTGATCCGATCATGATACACTGGATTTTTTGCAAGTGCTTGCACCAACGGATTGTCTCCATGCGGGCAACAGGCGCATAGACTTCCTCATAGTCGATGTCATGCCTTTGTTTGTAGCCTTTAGCCACAAGTCTTTCCTTATACCTCTCTACCTCTCCATGGGCATTTTTCTTCGTCTTGTATACCCATTTGACTCCAATTACTCGATGGTCCTTGGGAAGAGTCGTTAACTCCCAAGTGTTGTTCTTCTCTATTGACTGGATCTCCTCCTCCATGACTTGTCTCCACCTTTTGTCAATAACAGCTTCATCAAAATTCATTGGTTCACTATCAGCAAAGAGACACCACAAAAAATCAAAATTTATAATTTCTTCTGTGTCATCTTAGAGTTCTTGGATGCTCCTCATCCTATGTGGTCTTTCACTTGAACTCTCTTGAGTAGACGGAGATGCAACATTTGCTGGTGAAGGAGGCGGGGTTGCCTCCTGTGCAAGTGTCATGGTCTCCTGTTCTTCTTCATCTCTAAAGTATGAAAGAAAATCATATGTTCTTTCTTTCGGAGTCTCCCAATTCCATGATACTTCTTCATCAAATTCAACATTACGACTCACCCCCACCTTGTTATTACTTAGATTGTACAATTTGTAGCATTTTGAACTCGCGTCATAGCCAATAAACACATACTTGACACTCTGATCGTCAAGTTTAGCTCTCCCTTGATGTGGAACATGAGCATATGCTATGCTCCCAAAGATTCTCAAGTGCTTGACATTTGGCTTTCTTCCGCTCCATGCTTCTTGAGGCGTTTGATCCCGTACATTTTTTGTTGGAGACCTGTTGCTCAAATAAACTGCACAAGAAACAGCCTCAGCCCAAAATTCTTTTGGTAGATGTTTAGCTTTCAACATACATATAGTCATATTAAGAACTGTTCTGTTCTTTCTTTCTGCAGCTCCATTTTGTTGGGGGAGAGTAAGGTATCGTTAGAGGGCGACAAATTCCATGAGATTGACAAAAGTCATTAAATTCTTTTTATGTGAATTCGCCTCCTCTATCGGACCTTAATGCTTTTATTTAATAGACACTTTCTTTTTCTACAAGTGCTTTGAAATTGTTAAAGGAAACAAAAACTTCAGATTTTTGCTTCAAGAAGTATACCCAAGTCTTTCTACTGAAATCATCAATAAAGAGCAATAAGTATTTTCTTTTACCAAAAGAAGGTGGATCGATTGGACCACACACATCGGTGTGTACAAGTTGAAGTGGCTTACTTGTTCTTGATGTAGTCTTCTTTGGAAAACTCCTCCTTGCATGTTTTCCAAGAAGACAAGCTTCACACAATTGATTTGGATGGTTGATTGACGGTATCCCATTAACCATGTTCTTGTCTTCCATTGATTTGAGCGCTTCAAAGTTCAAGTGCCCAAATCTCATCTGCCAACACCATGAGTCATCTTGCACATTAGCCTTCAAACACTTTGCATCGATGGTTTTAAGATTCAAAGGGAGCAACCTATTCTTTGCCATGTGCACTTTAGCAATTAAGTTGTTACTTGAATCTCTAAGCCAAAGATGCATATTTTTCGTATGAATATCATATCCTTTTTTCAAGAAGTTGACCCAAACTCAAAATATTACTTTTCAATTTTGTCACATAATAAACATTGTTAATCAATTTATGGCCACCGTCTTTACATGATATCAAAATCGTACCTATCCCTTCAATTTGGATTTATGAGGTATCTCCAAAAGACACGTTACCTTTCACCGTCTTCTTTATCTCCACAAACTTATCTTTGTGGCCACACATATGATTGCTTGCTCCATTGTCAAGATACCATGAACTATAATCATTTGTATCTTCTTCTTTGAGTGTTAATAACAACGTTGACTTATCTTCGTGTTTGTTGTTGTCAACACGATTAACCATCTCTTCAACATTACTACGATATTCCTAAGAGTAATGTCCAATTTTATGACAGTTATAACACTCAATTTTAGATTTGTCATACATCATTTCATTTGTACCTTGATAGGCTCCACGTCCTTTACCTCCTCGTTGACCACGACCACGACCTCTAAATGACTGGTGACTTTTATCTTCATTGTTGAATTTGTTGGTGTAACTTCTTCCTCTTCCAAGGCCTCCACGGCCTCGCCATTGTCCATTTCCTTTGTAAATTTTCTCAACTTCAAATCCTTTGAAGGATGCTTGGGTTTTAAGAAGTTGCTCTAGTGGCTCTTCTTTTCTCCTTTTCATTTTCTCTTCGTGGGCTAGTAAAGAACCTTCCAATTGTTCTACCGTAATAGAGTCTAAGTTTTTAGACTCCTCAATAACACGCACCACATAATCAAATTTAGGTGTTAAAGAACGAAGAATTTTTTCTGCCACACACACATCATCTACTTCCTCCCCGTATCTTCTTAGTTGATTTACAACAACCATCAATCTTGAACAGAAATCCGAAATGGATTCAGATTCTCTCATTTTCAAAACTTCAAAGTCAGCCCTTAGAGTTTGAAGTTTTATATTCTTTACTATATCAACTACTTGAAGAGAATTTTGTAAAATCTCCCAAGCTTCTTTTGAGGTGGGGGCATCAGCGACCTTCTCAAACATACCATCATCCAAACATTGATGGATAAGAGTGAGGGCCTGTTGATCTTTCTTTCTTGTCTTTAACAAGACCTTCTTTTCATTTGAGGGCAAAGTTTCCTCATTAACGGGCTTTGTATACCCTTTGTCTACAATGTCCCAAACATCTTGTGAGCCAAAAATGGCTTTCATTCGTAGACACCATTTTTCATAATTTTCTCTTGTGAGACAGGGGTACTGAAAGGACAACAAACTATTATTTGTCATGGCTCTGATACCACGTTGTTGGACAAAATGATAATCACACCCAGAATAATGTCCAAATTAAATAGCAACATGAAGAGAGTAACAACGACACCAAATATTATATTGGGGTAAATATCATACCCGAATAAGTAATGAAATAATATTGATGAAAAACTTAGTAGTATCAAAAGACTACTACTCAACACTCTTTTATTTCTTACAACTCACAATAATATTAATTCCACACTACTTTCACACAAACTAAGAAATAGTTTGTGGATTACTCCCTCTACTCTCTATTGATTCTCTATTTTGGTGTGTCTTCAAGTGTTCAATTACTACTCTATTTATAGAGTTTTTGAACCTCTTAATTACATCATTATTGACATAAATCCGGTAGTCAATGTGTGATATTATCTTCAACAAATTTTCCTTTCTCCTTCTTTTCTTCTTCATTCTTTTTCATCTTCATATAAAATCGAGGTGCGGTTGGATGGTTAGCCTCAACAAATTGTTGGACAATCGTTTCCACATCGGGCGTTCCAAATAAAATTGGTTGACGGCCGATTGAGAAAATAATTACAGCTATTTGGATTCCACATAAAATGAAAAGCTCATTTGCTTTCTTAAATAGAGATTTTTGTTTCTGAGAGATTTTAACACCTTCAACACGTTTTTCTTTTGCAAGTGCTAAATCGACATTGGAATTCTTTGATTCCATGTCTACAACAAAAGAAAATGAAAAGATACAATAATTTGTTGCTCAATGTATACAAGAAACTCGAACCAGAATGAGTACATGCTCAACACAAATCTTCAAATTTATAGAAAATTTCTTTCGTTATTTGACTTCTAAATTCTAGAATTTATTTCCTGACGGATTCAAGATATACAATTTATGAAAGCCTCCCTTATAGTTTGATGACATAAAATTACCTCCTCTCTACTTTTTTCGAATGAAAAATTATCAAAAATATTGAAGTCTTGAAAAAGTATACAAATTGCTCAAATTTATCATCACAAATATAAATCATCAAACATACTCACTACATATTTTATTAATTTTTAAATTTATTTATGCCTTTTAAATCTAATAAAAATAATAGAAAAAGAAACAAGGAAAAAAAATACTTTCAATGAAAACTATTCTAATAAAGGAGTTCTTGTATGAAATAAGAGGAAAAACATACTAAACTAAAAGGCAATATCATCATATAGAATTGAATTACAAAATAATTATAAAGTTCTTGTTTTCTATATAAATGATTGTCAATTACTTTGATTTTTTTAGTCAATTTTAGTGTTCTTTATTTTAAAAAGAAATTTTAATTAATTAAGGGATTTGTTTCTCCCTTTTCCATCAATCATCTTTTAAAGAGGTATCATTGCAATAAAACTTTCATAAGAGGGATACCAACATAATTTTAAAGCTAGATTGGAGGTGAGTGCAATTATGCATAACTTGTATATATTGCCTTAATCTTCATTTTCAAAGTAGATATACAATAGATTATCTAAATCTTCATCTATTGATTAGCTTGCCAATTTTTAAAATCAATAAAATAAATAGGAACAAAAATATTCTAGTGACATGCTTATTCAATTAGGAATTACATTTTTCTCATGAACAAAAAATTGAGGTCGTGATTACATAAATCCTAATACCACAGATTGGCAAGGTAATTATTCACTTACCAATCATTTAACAAACATTATAAAATATAAATGAAATTAGAAGTGAAAATAAGTCTTACACAGTACTTATCACTAAATTCAATTAGAATGTGGAAAACAACTATAACACCAAAGACTTATTAATATGAGTACAGCCTTCTTAGATATAGAGAAGTGATCCTAAAATTACTATACTATACGGAAAAACTAAAAGCCAAAAATATAACAGATAGAGATTTTTGGGTGATGTTGTAACACTCATAGTCATTTTGTGAATTTAATCTCTTTTACAGTGCTTGACCCTCCCAGGAACTTAGGTTATCTATTAATGAATTTTTTTTATATGAATTACTTGTCCTTTTTGCAAATCAAAATCTATGATCTATATGTCACCTACCTCAACACCTATGCAGATAAGTCAATCCTTCCAAAAATAAACAGAAACATAAATTAAATGCGAAAATAATTAAATAACAATAGAAATAATCCTCAAAAGCCCGAATCTTTCATAATAAAGCAAAAATATTAAAATATAACTATCCCAAGAATCAGTGTTACTCTTACAAGATCTTTCCAAAACAAAACAAAATACCATGTATAGTAAATTCAATTGTCTAACAAGTAGAAAGATATACTTGAAATATAGACGAAGATCGACCAAGTCTTCAAACACAAGGAGCTCCCTATAACTCTGAATAAATGTCGGCCTTTGCCAGATTAGGATATCTGTGGATAGCTAATGCCAGGATCTGCATCAGAAATTATGCAGCAAAAGTAGTATAAGTACAACCAGACATACTCAGTAGGTATAAATAAACCAACCGAGCAAAATTAATAACCATAAAATACAAAGAATAATATAAAACATGCACTATGAAAATGTCCTAGTAATTCAGTATATGACAACCTATTCGCAACACCTCGAAAGTCCTTTAGTGCATATCAGGGAAAGGTGCAGTAGAAAAGATCAAAAGACTGCAGATTTTTGTGGTTTGCAAGTGTGTGTTACAGGTTGTATAAGTTTTTATCGCTCATGGAAAGGATTCGTAATTGATACTTAGGATTTCAGAATTTTGGTTCTGTGACTACGAGGAGTCTATACATGTCGTGGTTGAATCTACGGGTTGTGGAGAGGCTCGTAGAAACAAGCCATAAAACTTCAATAATTCAGAACTTCGGGATGTTAAGTACAAGCAACCAGTATGACTCGTACAAGGAACTATGAATCGTAGTTAGTCTCATGAATTCAGACTTCAGGTTTGGGAATTTTCAGTATATTGACTTTTATGAGAGGTTACTATAACTTGTACTAATGCCTACAAGTCGTGGAAATGGTTAGAAGTTCATTCTTCTAAGACTTGTGTCACGACCCAAGACTACACCATGGACGTGACCGGCAGTCGAGAACCATTGTTGGTCCCCAAGCGAATCCACATCCTGGCTGACTACAATCGGAAGACTAACTTAAGCATACAAAAGCTTAAAAACTAAATAAAAATTCATAAAACTGAAATACAAAACTTTAACTCAAATGAAAAACTCTGAATATAAAAATAATATTCAACTCGCCATAAAATAGGCAACTTAAGTCTTTAAACATTAACAAAATAAATGATACAAACTTCTCCACTATACCGACTATCTATGAAGCATCTAACTATTAAAGAGGCTGACTACAAGCGGAAGACTAACTTAAGCATGCAAAGGCTTAAAAAATGAATAAAATTCAATAAACCTAACTTTTCAAAACTTTAACTCAAATGAACAACTTAGAATAAAAATAATATTTTAAACTCGCCATAAAATAGGCAACTTAAGTCTTTAAACATTAACAAAATAAATGATACAAACTTCTCCACTATACCGACTATCTATGAAGCATCTAACTATTAAAGATGGAAGTCGGGACAAGACCCACGACATCCTGACTAAACTGAAAAGTAAATGAAATCCTCCGAAAACAATGAGGCTCAACATAGCTAACTCGAACTTCCGGATGTATCAACGAAGCTCCTATTGATGACCCTGAATACCTGTGTATGCATCATGAGAAGATGTAGGCCAAATGGCTCAGTACGTAGAATGTACGAGCATGTAAGAGGAATTCTAAAGCATAAACATAAGCTTGAACTTTGATAAAAGGAAACATACTTACCTCTTCTCAACTCACTCAACTCAAAGAAACATAGCTCAACTCAATGATAAGATATTCAATTCATAGGTATCCTCAAGGATACTCAAAACTACTCAAACTTACTCAACTCAGAAGTACTCAAGTATAAGATACTTAACTCGAAATACTCAAGGATAATGCAACAGTAAAATATGCAATATATATGAAAAGCTGTAAAAATGTAGATAGAAACTCAATGTATTAAAAAATACAATAATACTCAGTATGTATATAAAAATACAATATAACTTTGTGGGAGATTCTCTAACCGACAACCACCACTATGAGCCTAAGTGGTGAGACACCGTTTTACCTCATGCTGCCAAGGACCGTCCTATACCTTGCCGGGGGTATAGAACCTAACTCACTAAGTGGATCCACTAGTCTATGCTAAAAGCATCTTAATGAGTCATCTAAAAAGTATGATCCTTTACTACCCATGATGGTTACATGGTTTATGGAGACTTGAGTTATCTGAACTCGCATCCCCATGTCGGTGCTCAATACTACTCCCAAAATATACTTAGCTCATATGTTTGTAAAAACAAAACTCTTTCTTTGGTTTGAGATAATTACTCAAAATTTAGCTTAAAAGCCCTCTTGGAAATCATAGTTTCCTCTTTACTGAAAAACTAGCTCAGAGGCTCTTTTGAAAATCTCAGTTTCCTCTCTTGTTTAAATGTGAAAACATTTACTCTTTCGGAAGACATAGTCCCGATATACTCTTTTGAAGAAACGCACTTCAAACTTTACTCTTTACTCAACTCAAAACTCAAGTCTTA